CCTTCGCCTCCACCGCATCTGCTCCCAGGATGAGGCATTCCACTCCCGTACGTCTCAGATGTCCTCATTTTTCAAGGACCGCAACTCCACCCCCCGCAACCCCCCCCCCCCCGCCCCCAGTGGTCGAGAACGCCCTCGACCGTGTCTCCCGCAACTCATCCCTCACACCCGCTCCCTGCAATAACAACCAAAACGGAATTCTCCTCGTCCTCATGTACCACCCCAACAACCTCCGGATCCAACGCATCATCCTCCGACACTTCCGCCATCTGCAATCCGACCCCACCACCAAAGACATTTTTCCCTCCCCACCCTTATCTGCCTTCCGGAGGGACCACACTCTCCGTGAATCCCTTGTCCCCTCCACACTCCCGTCCAGCCCCATCACCCCCGGCACTTTTCCTTGCAATGGCAGGAAGTGCTACACCTGCCCCCTCACCCCCATCCCAGGCCCCAAGAAGATTTTCCACATCAAGCAGATGTTCACCTGCACATCTGCTAATGTGGTATACTGTATCCGTTGTGGCCTCCTCTACATCGGGGAAACCAAGCGGAGGCTTGGGGACCGCTTTGCAGAACACATGTGCTCGGTTCGCACTAAACAACTGCACCTCCCAGTCGCGAACCATTTCAACTCCCCCTCCCATTCCGCAGACGACATGTCCATCCTGGGCCTCCTGCAGTGCCACAATGATGCTACCCGAAGGTTTCAGGAACAACAACTCCTATTTCGCTTGGGAACCCTGCAGCCCAATGGTATCAATGTGGACTTCACAAGCTTCAAAATCTCCCCTCCTCCCCCTACCGTATCCCAAAACCAGCCCAGCTCATCCCCGCCTCCCTAACCTGTCCTTCCTCCCACCTATCCCCTCCTCCCACCTCAAGCCCCATCCCATCTCCTACCTACTAACCTCATCCCACCCCCTTGACCTGTCCGTCCTCCCTGGACTGACCTATCTCCTCCCTACCTCCGCACCTACACTCACTTTTTATTGGCTCCATCCCCGCCTCTTTGACCGGTCTGTCTCCTCTCCACCTATCTTCTCCTCTATCCACCTTCTATCCGCCTCCCCCTCTCTCCCTACTTATTTCAGAAACCCCTTCCCCTCCCCCATTTCTGAAGAAGGGTCTAGACCCGAAACGTCAGCCTTCCTGCTCCTCTGCTGCTTGGCCTGCTGTGTTCATCCAGCTCTACACCTTGTTATCTTAGATTCTCCAGCATCTGCAGTTCCTACTATCAGTAAAATTGTTTACATCTCTTATTGGTTAACAATTGCTTTGTAAGGAGATTTTTAAATGTTGCACAGAAATGAAGGTATTACGTTCATGGTTTAGTGGTGAAGTAAAGCATTGTTGTTTAGTGCCCATTAGATAGGGGAGATATGTACCTTAGATAATGACATGAGTGGCCGAAGGAAATGATTCTGGTGAGTGGTATTGGATTCTGCTGCTTTAATAGTCTGATAGAAGAGACTCATGTCTTTAGGTTTTTCCAGTTCCATTACTGCAACTGAATGCACATGTGGGTTGGCTTCAATCTCACATTGTTTTCACAATTAATGTAACATCTGATCTTAATACATGTGTATTTCTTCATCAACTAACATCTGGTATTTAAGAACGTTTCCTCATAACGTTCTATAATGAAACTAATCATAGGAATTAATAATGTAAACTTGCCACAATACTCTTTCCTTTCTCCCCCATCCCTTCTTGAAGGGTCTGTAGTTCCAACTGTGGCAGGAATGGCAAGTTTAGGAAGGCGAGTTCCCACCCAGCTGTGCTGATAGCAATTTATAACGGAAATATCAAATTAAAGAACATCTTGAATTTATATGGTGCTGTTATGGGCTCAACTCATCCAGAAGCACTGTACAGCCAATGAAATGCTTTGTGAACAACAGCTGCAATTGTTATTTAGGAAATGCATCAACCAGTTGTGCATAACTGCAAGGCTCTGCCAAACGGCAGAGTGATAATTACTAGTTTATTTTGTTTGCTGATGGTGGCACAGTGTTCAACATGGGCACTTTTATGTCCACCTGAGAGAACAGAAGGGGCCATGGTTTACCATCTAAAAGACAGCACTACTCTGTGTGGTACTCCCTCAGTGCTGTACCAGACTGTAATCCTAGATTCTTGTGCTAAACTTTCTAGGATTGAATTACGTCTGCATGATCTGCTGATTCTCTTCTGCCTTCTAACCTGTTTAGTTTGAAGATTACATTCGATCTTGATTCTTGTTATGCAGTCATAAGGAAACCGTGTAGCTATTTTCAGTAGTTTCTATTAAGGTTGCATTTCCAGAAATAAACTTCGAAAAATGCCCATGGGAAGTACAAAATATTGTAAACATTGGATGATATATTCTGATCTTGAGCTGAGACCTGTCGCCAAAGACTAAATTGCTGAAGTATTGAAAACACTTCTCGAAAATGAATTCAAGTTTATTCTTTACATTGTTTCTTCTGTAGCCATTTCTAAGTTTGTTACACACATTCATTAGGAAGGTGGCAATATATTAAGTGTTGTTCAGAATTTGTATATTGCTTAAGTGATTAGATTGCTTTGCTTTATTTTAGGGTTCTAAATTTCTTCAGCTCAAAAATCCCTGGAGTCATTTACGATGGAAAGGCCGATACAGTGATAAAGATGAGAAAAGCTGGACCCCAGCTCTCCAGAAGTATTTGAACTTTGATCCTAAAACCGCACAGAAGTTTGACAATGGTACTTCAGTCTCCTGTGGTATTGGGAGTATGGCACTTTTCATACAATGGTTTGCCCTTGTTTTTAGTATTAACACAACAGTTTTATTTCTTTATTGTTTATGGGACTGTCCTTATGTCTTACATAGTGCAGATTTTCTTTTGTAGCATTTGAACATTAAGGGTTTCCTGAACGGAAGCTAAAGAAGAAAATCATAGCGGGACTGCATGTCCCTAAAGGAGCTTGTCCAATGTTCTGCCCATTTACATCAGTGGATAGAAATCTTAAACAGAATTTATCTGATCCTTCTTGCCTTCCTTCCCTCCTTCTGAAACCCAATACTCAGATAATCTGCCATAAGTAACGATACTAAGTCCAAGGATCTGAAGCAGTACAAGTTGCCAACAGTGCAGTTCGTTATTTTGTTCAATATGTCAAATTGAAATTGGCGATGGCATTCTTTATGAATTCTTGCACGTTACAGGAATATTTTGGATCAACTGGGAGGACCTTTGCCAACATTATGATGTTATTTACCTGAGCTGGAATCCTGCACTGTTCAAAGAGTCAACCTATATTCACAGGTTAGTCAACAAGGGTGCCTTGCAAAGCTTAATGTCTTTTGTTTGAGGGTAGTGCCTGACCTTCTATGCACGAAGTTGCGCATTGATAGCGAGTGCAGTGTTAAAGTCTTGCCTGCCACTTGAGATTGGCATCAAAAATCTCATGCTGTGGTTTACAGCAGGTCTAGGAATTCTCTCAGCTACCTGGTTAACATTCAGTGCAACTCCACCAAATCCAATGGCAATTTCCCCTCGTTTACCAATTGTGAAATGTTGCAGCTTGTAAGTTTTTTTTGGATACTTTTAGCCATAAAGAAAATAGTAAAGCCTAAAAAGTAATTTTGAAGTGTTTTAAGACTTTTTAAAGTTTGGTATGAGAACGTGGGTGGCTCTGGCAAGGCCAGCAAATTTTCGCGAGCCTCCAGTTGTGCTGAAAAGGTGGAGAGCCTTCTCAAACTGTTATAGAACAAGGTAGTCATTCTGTGTAACAATTGGATATAATTGAGTGTTTTGCTAGACTATTTCAGGCAGTTACGATGGACTTGAAATGTTAACTTTATTTCGTTCTCCACAGATGCTGCTAGACCTGCTGAGTTTCACCAGCACTTTGTATTTTTATTTTAGCTCTCCAGCATCTGCAAGTATTTTGGTTTTATCCTTTTGTCATGATTGCTGTATTCAAGCAATGTCATTTCTTTTTAACAATCTAGAATAGTCTCCATGTAAACAATTCATTCCTCTGGTTTTACAGTAAAGTATTTTTGCTGAGATTTTTCATGAGAATCTGGCAAATGAATTCCTCCATGACCTTCAGGGACATTTTCTATTGACAATATTAGTTAATAGTGTGGTGATCTTATTATATTAAAGATCCATAAATCATGTTTTTTGTGACTAGCGTGGACCAATCCGATCCAAATAATCTTTTATTTTATTGCCTACTTCTAGTTTTAACTTTTTAAAAAAAAGACTTCTTTATCTCTTTTTTAAAATTCTGTACCTGACACAAATTACCTCTTCCCTCCGAGCTGACCTTGATTACCCCTTCACAGCACCACCCCAGATCTCTGCCTTTCAAGTGTACTTTTAAAGTTCTGGCCGTTTTGACTAACATACTGGTCCAGCTGCTTCTTATTGACTACTCCATTTTGCTTGCCTCATTTTTCTGTTCTCATCCAACTGTTCCTCTGCCTAGCTTGCACCCTGCATTACAATGAACAAAGCCATGAAAAGATCAGCTATTGTTTATGTAATAACCCATGAGTAACTTGCATTTCAACATTGTCGGCCATTTATCACTGGTAGGTTTAAAACGGCTGCCTAATTCTTTTTTTTCACGTTATATCACAATAGTATTGTCTTGATAGCTGAGGCAATGTGAAAGATATTAGGGATGTGGTAGCTTTGTATGCCATTGCATTAAGGTTTGCAGATTTTTCTGCAGTGGTGAATTCTTCATCTTCACTGGTCTGGTAATGTGAGACCAGGTTTTTTCTTAATTCACTGGTGGGGTATGTGCATCACTGATGAAGTCAGCACTTATTGCCCATACCTACCTGCTCCTGAGAAGGAGTGGTAGGGTACTGCTTTGAGTTGCTGAGTGTATCTTGCACATGATACAAACTGCAGCCTTGATGCGATTGTGGTGTGAATGTTTTAAGTCTCAAATGAAGAATGAGACTCAATTAAATCATTGGAACTGGTGTAGGAGCAGGTTTGCAACCTGTTTGCAGCCCTGCCTGAGAATTTTCTCCAGCAAAAGTAGTATATCACATAGAAAAGAACTGGAAGTTGAGCAAATCCACTTGACTGCAAGATCCATGGATATTGTGAACCCGTAAGACTTTGTTTACGTTATGAGCACGACTCAGAGAAAGGTATTTTTATTCTTATTCCCCTAGTACTTGGGATGCAAAGCAAGGGCCTGTGAAAGATGCCTACAGCCTGGCTAACAATCCGCAATACAAATTGGAGGTGCAATGTCCACAAGGTGGTGCTGCAGTTTGGGTTCTACTGACTAGACACATTACTGATAAGGTAAGTAGGCAGTAGAGGATGTTGAGACATTTGATTACCTGGCCTAGCTTAGTTAAATCCTAATATGTATGGCACCTTAATCCAAATGTTAATTGGAACATCTGAAAGGCATTCCTATCTGTTCTGACTGTAATAAGGTGTAGAGCTGGATGAACACAGCAGGCCAAGCAGCATCAGAGGAGCAAGAAGGCTGACGTTTCGGGCCTAGATCCTTCTTTTTCTTTATACATTGTATGTATTACTTTACTGGCCCGTTAGAA